TTTTTTTTTTTTCTGCTCATACTTTTGTGCTTTACCATGGCGCAAATAAACAAAACAGATAAAGCACTGTTTTCACTGGTTTCAAAAAAAAAGTTGCTTATTATTCTAGAAGAACACAACTGCGAAGAAAAATAATATGAGGTTGATTTAGACTACTGAACCTGACAAAGGTTAGTGCCAAATGAATGCAAGGAGTTGGTAAAGGATGACACTTTTCACTTTCCTCAATTTTACTGTTTCGTTCACTCAGGTTAGCTGTTTTGAGTCTATCGAAAGCCTCGTCTTCGGCACTGACACCTCTTCGCCGATCCCCCTCTGCTCCCACTCTCGTCCACTTCCCTCTTCCCCCGTCCCCCTTTCCCCCTCCATTTCTCTGCGCGCCTGCCCTGACCAAAGCGCCGCTCGTTTCGCATAGCGCCACCCAACCGTTCTCGGCTCTCCTATTCCTCCCTCCTCTCCTCTGCTCCCTCCTGTCTCCCTCCATCAGCCCCCTCTACCCTTCCTCCCCATTTCACCGACCTTGTGTGCGTGTTTTATGTGTGTATTAACCCTCTACCCACATTTCCTTCAATCCGCTTTCTGCTTCCCCCTCCAAAAATTAAAAAAAAAATGAAGTCATAACTGACGAAACAGCGAGAGCCATTAATTAGTTATGTCTCAAAAATGAATGACTCTGGGAAATTTGGCATTAGCAAGTGACGTAAAGAGCTTATTTAAAGCTGTTTTTCTGTGTTTCATTTTTCTCCATCGCATTTTCGTTTTGCTTTGCTCCTTTTCATTACAAACCAATAAAATATTTAAAGTCAGAAAAATAAGCCTTTCAAAAATTGCTGTCTGTGCCCAATAAATGTTGGAAATTCAAAAATTTTTGTTTTCTAAAACAAAAAAAAACTAAACCTCTTTCACAACTAGACGTCAGCCAAGGAAGAAAAGTAAATAAATAAGCACAAGATATGCAGATGAATAAATGAAACAAATTATTTCTTCTCTCCTTATACGACTATTACTGAATACGTATTCCGCAGTTACTTTGAGTCAACTGAAACTGACCATTGTGTTTTTGATTGTTGGAATGATGTTACCACTTCCTTCAAAGGTTAGAGATTTCTAGACATAAGAGTGAAAAATATTGAGAAATACTCATGACAAACAAGCAATCAAGGAAGAAGGAAGAGCAGAAGTCCTGATAAAAGAAATCCTAATCAGCAAATGCGAAAACCATCTGAATGTTCAAAGGCCAGAAAATGATAACTAGCTACTGCAAGCTTATCCACCTTCAAAGGTCGACTTAAAACTCAATTTTAAAGTTCTTGGACTAGTCCAAAACGCACAACAATCAAGCTCACTCTAGCTAAGCGGCTGTGAATGAAGAGAAGAGACCGATTCAAATGGGAGAAAACGTAAAGACTTGAAAAATTATTTTTTTCAAACCAAATTGATGTCCAAATGAAATTCGTATATTTTAAAAAAGCGAACTTTTTTGACCGAAAACAAAAAACGTCTCCTTCCTAATCATTCTATTCTTCCTACAAAAACTGTTAACTGTCCCATCCAACACAAAGAAAAAATTTAGTCATATGCGGCTATGTGTGTTCCAACTAATCCTATCGTACTTTTCTTCTCCTCTGCCAGTCCCCATGTGCGAGAAAACAGCAGCAGAGAACGGGAAGGGAGGAGGGAGGCAGATAGTGGCGGGGGACAAGAGAGATATGGAAAGAATAAACGAACTATGCGACAATGCTTCTAATATGTAGATACTGCTGTTGCTACTGCTACTGCTATTGCTGCTGCTCCTGCCGTTGTTGCTGATCGGTATTGGCCGCCAAAACAAAAAAGAAACTTGCTAATTCCAACTGAGAGTAGAGCAGAAAAACAAACCGAAGCTAAGGTTTGTGAAAATTTCAAAAAAAAATTTTTCCTATTACAACTGTTACGTATTCGTAGAGAAGTAGGAAAGACGGGCGAAAATTAGACGTGTAGTGCAGAACAAATTGGCGCATTTAGCCTTTTTTATTTTTATATGTGTAATTTTTTTTTTCTTTTGTTCCTGCTCTCTAGTTTTGTTAGCATTAAAAACACTGGGCTCACTTTTTAAAAGTCAATAACCTCATGAAGTTAATTTTTCAATTGCAATAAGAATAAAAATGGTCACAAAACAACAACAAAACAACAACAACCACAACAACAACAACAACGACAACACAACTGCAATCAGCAGCAGCAGCAACAGCAACAACAACACCACCATGGTCAATAACTGCATCAATATTTCTGTCACATATCAAAACATGTGCGCACGCGCACAAATA